CAGGAAAGTAAGTCATGGTGACTTGTCTGTTACTTGTGACGATGTGTCTGATGTTGAACATGACATGGTTGATGTTACTGTTTCGCCGTTCAGAGATAATAGGAACATCAAACTCCCTAAATTTGAACCGCGGTGTTTTGATGGAAACCCGGCTGATTATTTACAATTTGTAAAGGAGTTTGAGATCATGCTGAGTAGTTTTCTATTAAATGATGAATTGAAGTTAATGTATTTGATGAGATATTGCACTGGAGTTGCTGCAAGAGCTATACGGTGCTGTAAGTTTATGAAGCCAAAAGAGGGCTACTACGAGGCTGTGAGCATATTACGTCAAAGGTTTGGAGGACCTTCGATGATTGTGAGGAAATTATTCGAGGCTGTTAAGGGTAATGGTGGTCAATTACAGGATGACTCCCAGGCACTCACTGAGTTTCTGGATAATTTGCTAATTTACAAGAATGGAATGATTTCGATGAATTGCATGAGTGACCTCAACTCGAGTTCTATACTAGAAGTAATAGCAAGACGCCTACCTACTCGACTGCAAAGGAAGCGGGTGAAGATGAGCTCCCGTATGGAGGATGAGGGTATCGAGCCAAAATTTGATGATATCCTGAAACTAGTAAAAGATAGTGTCAATCAACCTGTGAGCAAGTTTGCCAGTATATTGAATCTCACCCCCAGAATAGAGCAGTCTGAGGGTAAAACGCAATCATTGATGACGAATAGGCCTCAGAGAGGTGGATATCGAGAAGGCTCCATGATGTATAGTAATGCATATAGACCTAGTGAGTGTAACAGGTTTCGTAGTACATCCTCAACAGATAAGTTACAAGATGCAAGACAAACACGGCTGTGTTTTACACCTTTGCAAGAGGTGCATACAGAGGTGAACTGTGAACCAGTGAGCAAGTTCAGTGATAAGCTAAATGTAAACTCCAGGCCTGACTCCGAATTGTGTGACGATAACGGTGCGGTGAAGAAGTCTGTAGTTGCAACTGGTAAGCCATTGTTGAATAGAGTGTCACAGAACAGATTTACCGCTTCAGAGTTCACTTCTGACTCCACAAGTTTACAAGGTATTACTAGTCAGAGTGAAGGTATAAAATCTTTAGGGATTTGTGAGGAAGAACCCAAATCATCTACTTCTGTAATTAAAGGGTTTGAAAATGATGAAGTTGACGGTAAAGTGAATATTCGTGATAATGATCATTATACTTCACAGTTGTCTTTGATTGATCATTATGAGATGAGGGGAGTGCCTACTGCTGCTAAGTTGGAAAAAGCTTCTGTACAACATGAACTTGTAGTAGAAATAAATGCAGATGCAGTTGCAGAAGGAATGCATACTTGTCAGACCGTCAGTTTAATTGATCGGCATGTAGCCCACCTATCATCAGATGCTTGTGCTAAACCTGAGCTGATGGTAAAAGACAGCAGTGGTAGTAATCTTGCAGTTAGACAATTTTCTGAAAGCCGAACAAGAACAGCTTCTGATCCACCACTAAGTTCATCACCTTGTGTCACTCAGTCATCGTTGGTGTTGTCATCCACAATGAAACAGACACCCATCAACTCAAGTATCTTGTTCAATGACTACGGTAGTATCAGTTCGTTTGAAAGGACGAATATCAATGGTCAGTTTAGTGTGGATAAGCCAAGTGTAAACGAGAGACTTATTGTTAAATGGACTTGCACGAATAAAGGCGTTTCTAGTTTCAAGTTACTATCCGAATGATATTATCTTTGGTGTAAATTACTCTGTACCCAAGCTTGGTTGACCAGATTCGTCGTATGTTTGTTCGTCATCTATATTCTACGATACAATGACATGAGCGAGTTGCCATTCAGATTTGAGGATATAGCTGATAGAAGGAAGTCAGCAAGTAAACTCTGTAACGAATTTTCAACCTAGAGCGTCGACCTGAGAAGGGTTGTAGGCGTACTGGTGTAAGTCCTACAAATCTTCGAAGGATAGCGCATCAATGAGCAGTCCAATGTGGTTGGTGTGTGATTTTGTACATATGTTCATGTTGTATATACTGAATTGATATCATCTGTCATCTAGCTGACGGTTATTCTGTTTGTGTCCGGACGACTTCCACTTGGATCATCAACCTGAGAAGGAATGTAGGCGTACTGCTGTAAGTCCTACAGTTCTTCAAGAGTACTTCGTCATGCAAGGATCCACAACATTTGATGTATTGAATGTACATATGTTCGTGTTAAATAGTTGTGTGAGCTCCAATTATTGTAATTGTTGGTTAGTCTTGTTTGTGTCTGGACATTCCACAACTTACAATCGTCAACCTGAGAAGGGTTTCAGGCGTACTGGTGTAAGTTCTGCGATTCTTCAAAGGAATTACATCGAGACACGATCTGCGAGTATGTGTGTACTGTTTGTATATACGTGTGGTGTGTCACATCAATTGGTGTTTTTGAGATTCACCGTGTTTACTTGTCGTTTCCATACCTTGTTGTTATTGCATAATTTTGTTAAATTTTTCGTCGTGATTACTTCTGAAGTTGTTTCGAGTCTTCTCCATCCGTGAATGAATTGATTGATGTGAGAGACAGCAGATGGGTTGTATACGCCGGGGAGGCTATAGCTGAGAATGAAATGCATACGGAGAAAATTGTTAGCTGCGGTCCCACACGCCGGGGAGTGAGAGTGTAAACGACTGAGGCTCGCACACGTCACCGTTACTAGAACTGAGGCAGAATGAGTGACAAGCGATCGCAGTTGTGATTTATACTGAATAGAAAAGAGGATGTGCGAAGAGTATCATGAGGTGGTGCTATGGTCACGTTGCGTTCTGCAAGAGTCATTCTAGCAAGTGGCGATTGTGTTGCAAGAGGATGTGTCAAGAGGATTCCTTTAACTGGAAGGTGTGGGTCGTCATTGATGTGTGACATTGTGCTGTGGGTATGCTTGTGGTGTGTTGGCTTTTCTGTTTGTTTTCCGTTTCAGCTTTGTCCATGTGACCCAGGTTCTCGCAATGGCATCCAAGTCAACGTGTATTGGTCGTGATGGAAAAGAGGGATGGATCCGTTTTTTCCGGGGAGTGTCAGTGTGGTTGAAGATTGAACGATCAATTCATGGTTGTTTGCTCAAAACCAACTTCCCCGTATTTTTCGCGGAGGCATCAATACAACAGTCATCGTCTCATCGACCGCTGTTCAAAAGGACGTCAGCAGCAAACCTTCAGAAATAATACTGTGATTTATTATTGTAATATTTGTTCACAGACCTTAGTTATAACATTTTTTATATGTTGGTGTAACAATAAAGAATCCTCGAGTCAACAATTGGTGTTTTGGTTTTGCGTCCGTTATTACTAAGCGTTTCTGAGAAACTTTAAGGAACAGCGTGAGCCTGAGCGTAGCAAGAGCTGGGCATTGACGGTTTGCGAGACCTGTCTGACAATACATATAAGGTCAATATAGGGATTCCACGGAATGCCCTCCTGGAGGACTTTACGCAATTGTATGTAACATGGAGCCGTACCCGATCCTTTCCTATGTATCGTTTTTAAGCTTATTACCTGCTCCCACCGAATCTCCCAGAATTCTTGGCACCTATGATGTAAAAGTGGAAGGACACTTAAGGATGACACTGACAAGCTTATGTTGCAATATTACGACAAATTATTGGACTTACCCAAAGAATAGGTGCTCTTGATTAACAATGTGAAGTGCGCGACCACGCGTTAGTCCGTGTGACATTTATAGAACGCCGCTCCCCTCACTGCTGATGGACGCGAATCTAGATGCCATTGCAATTCAAAAGCTAAAATTAGGACGTAACTTCGGGTGGTAGCGATTTTTAGATCACTGTGGTAGATATGTAGGGGACTGTGAGGAGAGCTCATTAACATTACAAATATGCGAATAAAAATCCAAGTTTGTGAGATGGTAGAGTAACAATATATTATAACAAATTGTATTAATGAGTTATACTAATAAGAAGGTTACTTGGATATAATGTAAAAGTCTGCTACTACAAATTAATAATATTATCCATGGGAGCGTTCACTGTTGGAATTTCGTCTGCTGGTAGATGCTGTGGACTGGTTGTAGAGTTGTCTTCGGATAAGGATAATAGACTCCTGCAATAAATCCCAAGTACACAACACGGTATGAGTGGAGCTAGTAGACAGTAAAGGCCAGAGAGAAGGCGAAGCTTCCAACAGTATAGTGTATTTTGTATTGTACACGGGAGTTATATATATTTTAACATGAATCGTTTTGAACAAAAATCGCGTACAATGTCTCTAATTCCTACAACTGACAAAAATTGTACAGTCATATTTTTACGTACTCCACAGATACGAGGTGAGCTTACAAGAATCGCCAATGAGACTTAAGTAATGAGATGAAAACAGGAAGGCTGCACCCAAGCAGTCAACCTGTCTTGAGGGGAACTCCTAGAAGAGTTCTAAGTGAGGGCGAAAGTGTGATTTCTGGCACTGGGAATTTGTCATACAAGGAGAGTCATAGTATTTCATCCATGTACTCTAATTGATGCCATATGTAGAGACGGAACTTATTCGAAGTGTTCAAATTCCTAAGAGGTAACAGTGGACCTAATTCATCTCCGAGAAAATCGCATGAGAATTCGAAATCTGAATAGCAGTAATATCGTTGCTCAGCACAGATTCTACCACCAAATTCTAGACTTTTGGAAGTGACTCCCATAAAAATGGTGTACACCTCCTTAGTCAAATGGTGGAAGAAGGGGATTGAAACAGATGTGCGTCGGTGCCACAGTGGATAGGACTCTCGTCGACCATGTAAGTGGTCCGGGGTTCGATCCCCTGCCGACGCACATCTGATATCAATGGTCGGCCTGATAAATTTGAGCAACCGATATCACATGCTGAAAATTCCATGCCTGTACCAAAAATACGGTGTGGAATCAAGCTGTAATAAAAAAGACACTCATGAGGCTTGTCTTTGACAGAAAAATTAAAACAATCTGAGTCTGGATTGAAATTTGAACGTTGTTACCTCGCTGCGCGACAGACGACAGTGACGCTTCCTAAAAGGTCACAGCTAAAACGAGGATCAGCTTTAGGTTTATGTCGAAGAAGACTAACTAATGTTGCCGGCGTTTGTCGCAAGGCTTATTATGTAAGTGCCTCCTAAAATCATCTAGTTTCAGAACTGTTTTAGGAGTTATGCATCCCTCCTATAGGACATATAAAGCCATAAAAAGAAAAGATTATCAGGAAGTGGTACGTTTTAATTTCCTAGTTTCTCTGATGGCTCTGGGTATAACAGGTAACACTCGGAATGTACTGGGTAGTTTTCAGTATGTACATTACAGTGGAGCTAGTCACTGATATTCTCTTCCAGTGGTATGCTTTCCCCAGAAGATTTACTTTACTTCATAGGCTCCCATTCTACTACGAAGCTAAAACTTTGTTTGTTATCTGGCTAGTTACACCAGCCACATCAGGATATAGTTTCATTTATCGGAAGATTATTCACCCTGAACTCACCAAGAGGGAAAATGTATGTCATGCACTTAAGTTCATTTTTGTAGGAGATTGACGAAGCAATTAATAGAGCAAAGGAAAAAGGGTACTCAAAAGTCGTAGAGTTTGGTGCAAAAGGGTTAAATTATGCTGCTAAAGCTGTCCTCTCTGGTGCTATGCTGGTATGTACATATTATAAATGTATTTTTTTGTATTTTTCTTACATGTCATTGTGTCCCACTAGTTGTTTCACTTGACGCAAATATAGGGATACTCAGGTTTATGTTTCGCTTTCATGTTAGTAAGAGTGAATAAGTAACCTCTAATCTAGAGGTTTCACGCCAACTGTTTTATTTAGTATTGCAGCCATATGTTGAAAATGGACATTTGCGAAATAGATTGTCTTTGCTTAAAGCGTGTTATATTTGTTTATACTTAGTTTATTTATTGTCAGACGATCAGGTTCTTGAGCGTTTCCTCCTAGATAACTTCTGAAGTAGAGGGGTTTCAATTAAGATAAGCTCTCAGGAAGGAAAGTATAGATATATGTGGAAGAATGAGTAACCACAAAATCATGTGCTTTTGTCTGTTGACTTTTTAACAGCATAGAACTTCGACTGTAAAATGGTTGTTGTGGTTTTCAACAGCTGACTCCCCAGAAATTTCCCTGAGATTGTGGAAACAAGTAAGGTTGATGTACTTAATTTTGAAGAAATAAGTAAAAGTAATAACAAAACGAAAATACACTAAGTGCACTGTACTACATTTCCTTCCGTTGGTCATAGGACTCTTCACAAAAATTCATTTCAGTTTCAAACATTTTAAAAGACCCTATATTATGAAGGAGCTGAAACGTAATGTTATCGTGTTAGGTAAACTTGAGAGCATGACAGTAAAAATTAGTTGGAGTGTAAATACACACCGTCACGCCCAAAACATACACGTTAACGCTCCCGAATGAAAACAACAGTCGGATATCCAGAGTCACTCCACATCCTCCGCTTGGTAAGGTCGTGTTTCACCGGCGCATACCCCAAATCTCTGTAAATCCGACCATAGAGATGTGAGACCGTATCATGCAGAGTACATTTCTCATACTAGGTCTTTCTTGTTTCTCTATCACTTTTTAGACGAGTGACAGCTTTTTTACCTAGGTCACTGCTAGTAGACCGCGATTGTATGTACGTACTATAACTGTAGATAATTTAGACTGCATTCCAGTGTTCTGTCTAACGTCCCAGCCCTCTTTTTGGAGAAGCTCATACAGTTCTTTCTTTTCCGGAAATCGTCTCATTTTCCATTACATTTTTGATCCTGTTTCATGAATAAGCCCAGATTGTTAAAGGGTTTCGCCTCTTGTTGAGACTTTCTCTGCTTCTCTTGCTTTCTTCGTTTACTGTTTTAAAGACTATCTGCTAACGTTTGCAAATCTCTCACATGTCATGTTTGGGATCCCTTCGGACCATTCTTTATGACGGTTCAGATGAAGCAGCAAAAATTCTCCAACACTTTTTAACCTTTGACTGAAGGTTACTAACAGTCTTTACCACTTTTTCAGCAGATGCTAGTCATACTCAGTATAGGTACTAATGTTGTACTTGGATTTATATAACTTTCTTAAATACGAATTTTGTATTATAAAAATACTGAACATGTAAGGACGTAGCAGCTGCTTGTTTTCCACTACCGTTCGGCTTCAGACATATGTGCACGAGCTTATGCATTATCAGAATCTAGGTGTTTCGGAAGTAGCAGTAGCCTTGCATCAACCGTTTCCCTCGAAAACTTGGGGCTAGGTAATGTGTTTGTATTTACCACTGGCTTGATATAAGCAATCTCTAATTGTTGGCCATAAACCGATTGTTATTTGAGCAAAATTGTGACAGACGATGCACATTGTCGGTTTGTTGAACATTAAAGTCACCCACTAAGAATATATCTAAGTGATTTATTATAATAGCTAACCACGTTAGAATGTGGATGCTGCCCATACACTTATGAAACTTTTCTCGAAAGTTTCTCATGAGAAGAGCAAAGAGTCGCCCTGTCAAGATAAGTGAGAAATTTCCGATAAAGGATGAATGAAATATCTTATCTAGTACTAACTCAACTCATTGATTACTGTAAATATAGTACTCGACTCACAAGCAGCCGTCGTCACCTTGATGTGGTAATTTTAGTTTGCATAACAGGTGTGATATCAGAGTACATGTGTATAATGAATAATTTCTTCTTGTTCTATTTTACGACAGTAGGACAACCGGTGGATGTAAAAAAGCAGATAAGATGCATTCGATCATATGTGGTTTTGTTCAGTTTCTGGCGTTAGATAGATCAGTCTAAGTGACAGTGAGATTAAGGATAAAGGTTCCAATGAAGACAGTTATATCTCAATGGATTGGGAGTGTGTTAAGTCGATGAGCTGTTTTAGCTAAAGTAGTTATGATCAAACAAATTGTGGTACGAATCCATGAAGTCAGTGACCGTTGGTTTGATTCACATGGGAAGGTATGGGTTGCCTTGTTAGGATCATCTTGGTGCTAAAAATCAGCGAACTTGCATCTCTATGATATGGCTCAAAATTGCTCACTAGCGTGAATGTATTAACTACTTTTTAGCATACATATTCTTAAAACCATCTTATTATTCTGTTTACTTCACTTCATGCTCTGTAGTTTCGTTACAATCCCCTACTTTTATATATGTTGTTCCGATGTGCGGCAACTTAAACTGATGCACTTTGGTGTAAAATTCCACACTGATAAGTTATTCAGTCAATGCAATTTCATACTAATTCATTTATTGAATACATCACATAGTGAAACATTATTATTCACTGAATGAATTCGAACACATCTTTTCGTTCGTAATCAGTTATAACTGCACAACTTTGTGGTCAGAGTGTAGATGTTAATGTCGATAACATACCCTTCTAAATAAATGCATGATTTGTTCCAAGCTGCCCATCTTCCTGTGAATTCGCACTGAAATTTAATTATGCTACAATAAGCGCTTTCAAGTACACAGATCTCGATGTGTTTCTTGTAAACTGTCATTGTTAGATGATTACTAGAATACTTTGGTTGCTTCATTGAAATTAACACATGTATCTATCAATTCACACTTGAAGCGCTTTTTATATATCAAAAGTATTTTTGTATCGTATTTTTCAGAAATCTGTTAAGTGCTTGATCATCCTTTCGTAAAAAACATTTTCATTGCTACTTTCTTCGTATTAGTCACATTAAGTAACATTTTCAGTTGCTTGATTCTCTTATTGTATTGGGAGCAACAATATTGTTTTCTTTTCTTCATTAAGGGTCAAGACTTTTTGGTTGATCGTCTTGGAAAACGAAGTTCAAGTATGTTCGAACTTAATCGTCGATCACAAGTGGGGCGTCTAAGATTGGGTGCTGGTGACATTCTAGATTATGATGAGCCAGATTTTGCCAGCACTTTTCGAGGTGAGTGAATGAGTACAACCTGTAGGTTTAACTTTGGACCTCTTTGTTGAGTAAATTGTTTTTATGTAAATTCAAGTGGAAAATACAATTAGCTTTCTCATTGGCCTTCTAGTGCTTCACTTATAATATTGCTATTGATGTGATTATCTTTTTGTTTAGCGTTTTCTCAGGCTAACGTATTTTTCATTTTTCGCTGTTGTCATGTGTATAATCATATAATTATCCCATATTTTAATCAAATGGTCTAACTTTTCAGAGAGAACAAGTCCAGAGGATGACCCATTTGCACTTAACTGGCTTCAAATGGGATCGACAGGGTCACTAGGGCGACATTGGAGACCGGGTTCTAAAGGTGTGGTGTACATTTTTGTATTCACTGTCTTTTTGTGTTAGGTGTCTTCTGATGTGTGTCGAATCATTATCACATCTTTGTATGTATCTATTCGTGCTTAAAATCATTTTTGTGTATCCCTTGCATTCTTTAACCCGACTCATTTTAATTTCAGTTTTAGATACATCGGGTAGTTAATACTTTTCTTTATCTAATGCTCTTGCTTTTTTAACACTATATTTAGTTGATGTGATTATTTGTGGATTAAATTATTTTGATTTTGGCTATGTGTATGAGTACTTCTTGTATATAGTTTCTTCTGTCTAACCAAAGGTTTTTGATAAACATTTTATTCTGATTTGCATGTTTTGTCCTAACCACACTGTATTTGGCACCTACTCAAGGCTATTCTGCCATTTTTCTGTGACATGTGATCTTTTTTAATTCTTTGGGAATGAAAACGGGCGTTTCTTACGTGTTTTGCTGTGCAAGAAAGTAGTGTTGCATCCTCATAGGTTCATAATAACCTGAAGTAAGTTGCTTATCATGGTTTTCGTAAAAAATGCCCTTTCCTCTCTACCGCTTGGCAGTAATTATTGAACTAATTTTCTAGTGTAATCGCTATTACTTCATTCTATCAATTACTTGCTGGACAAATACTACTGTGAATTTTAACGCATTATTTATGGCTCTAATCTAATAGTCTTAAGCTTATTTAGCACTATCAGTCGTGTTCACTGCTGCAGGAAAGCCATACTAGCTGTAGGTGGGAGGAGCCTCGAATTCATGGCTCATTGGCTGAAAGTCGAGTGCTTAAGTCGACGAGCCACTTCTCCACATTAATGTTAATGTACGGCAAATCAGTACATGCAGAACCTTGATTGAGTTATTGTATCCGTATCTAGTTTTTCACTAGTTTGATCAGACTATTCGCACTAATTCTCGAAGTTTTGTCTTATTTCTCATTGGGAAGTATGAAGTCTAAAACAATAAAGATATTAGGAGTTCACGAAGTCCAGAGTTGTATCTCAAGCGGTTTCAGAAAGTGTGAAATGTATTATTGAGATTAACATAACAACTGATATGGATGGTCCTGGTTGTTTTTGAAACAGCTAAAAGGTGACCAGGGTAGAATGAACAGATGCATGTTCCATTTTACTGCTCTATTTTATAGCCTCTTTTACTACTGATTATATCATTTTTCTTTTGTTTATCATTTTCCTATGGCATTTGTTTTCTCTGTAATAGTGTAGTGTTGTAGCATTAAATAATTTGCTATCCCGTCGTATATACGTTTATGTGTGTGTGTGTGTGTGTGTGTGCGTAACCACGGTCATAAATTTTGTTGGTAGTCACACCATAACCTGTTCATTTGTCGTGTCATCAATGTTACCCTTCAGCACCAATTACTGAAAAGCACAAAATATTTCACAAAATCTTTCAAAAGTTCCAGGTTTGTTCTTCATTATGTCTTGTACATATGGTGTAATCAGTATCATATAGTGAAGAATTTTCTACATTCATAAAAATATATCTTATATCTGTCTAAGTCTGACATGAGCTGCACTCTTCTCGGATGTGATAGGATGTTTTAGGACTAAAATACACATACTTCTTGTTTAAGGATAGCAAGCAAGGTGATGTAATTGTGTAAATTTCTGTCATCTTTCAAGGAAAAATCGAATAAACAATTATCCAGTAACATAAAAAATAATTCCTGGATTTTATGTGGTTTCAAAAATTACCTACCTTTCCCTTCAACGACAGGTTTTTCAAGTTTTTAATTTATAATCCTTTCTTGATTTTTCAGGTCTAAGTAATGTACCTGAGGATTCAGAACATTTCATCGAAGAGTCTCAGTCAGTTTCATCGAACCGATCGGTTTCGACAAGGCGTACAAATGTTGCTCAGGTAAGATCACAGTAGTTTTTAACATAATAATTGTCAAACGGTATCTCAGTTCCTGAAGGAAAAGTGGTTTGTGATAGAAACATTGTCATTGAATAGTTATTACAGCAAATATATACGTTCATTTTTTTTTCTATCGAAATCTGAAAACTACATCTTAGTAGTTTTTCGTTGAATTTTTTATTACGATGAATACTTTTTTCATTTGGACTTTTGATGTAGGTTAAACATTTCAAGTTAGGAACGCATTTGTCGATCTCATTTCGGTATATATATATATATCCTTCACATTCCCCAGTGGAACATAGGGCTTCAAGCTAGTGACTTGAAGTTTCTGTAGCAGTGTTTATTTTACAGGATAGGGTTGCTAGCCTCATGCCCAACCTTACCTCTTTACCAGAATTATTTCTGGCTTAGCGAGGTAAAGGAGTGCGTCTGTGGCCGGGGATCGAACCCGGGACCATGTGCATGGTCGGCGAGCATCCTAACCGCTATACCACCGACGCACGGTTTATGGGTACTATAAATGGACACCTCAATAGAGCTTCATTTTCTAACTTCACGTTACTTGTCTGTTGGACAGTGATTAGCAGTGAAATCCACTGTGTGTATTTCGTCTCATTTATAAATTATTATTAGCCACATGTACGTAAATCCAGAAAAATCAACAAAGTCACAAGTATATACAAATAATATCAAAGTATACCTGCTGCATAAGTGGTGTCTATCAGGGTGTATTAATTTAGTGTTGAACGTTTTCAGTAGATGATGAGTTTTAATTAAAATAGGATTACCGTAAGTTGCTTGGATTGAAGTATATCCAGATGATGAGTCCCCGTTAAGGAGAAATGCAGCTTTGTGAATTCCACAGCCAACCACCATCAAACAAATATACTATGAAAATGCAAAGCCTCTTCTGCGAAAGCAAGTATTAGTAATCATATAAGTGTAGCTTTTGAAGCTTTTAACCGATTCTGGATAATTTTATACTACCGGTAGTTCATAGAGTTATCAGCATAGATAGATGGGTTTACTGTGTTCGTTGCTGGAGCACGACCTTTTTGAGATATAGCTTTTCCTTCAGTATCTAAGAAACTGTTTACTATTTCGCTTTCTTCTTTGTTATTAATGTTAATATACACTTGTGTATGCAACAGGCGGAATATTTATATTCATGCTAAAGGTTAGATATCTGATTGTAATTGTGCTCTACGTGTAGTTAATATTTTTCTGTAAATCTCAAATACTGTTCTAGGATAAAGTTTGTGTCGTGATTTTCTTCTCAACTAACTAAATACTTGGTTAATAACATTATTTTTAATTCAGTTTTGTGAATGGCCTTACCATTTTAATATTTGTTTGTCGTATTTCCAAAGTATTACGTACTGTAGTTCCAAGCTAAAACTATAGTAAAAAGTAATACTTCACGTGGCATTCTTCTAGTCAATATACTGCTTTCAGTTGGTATTTCTGTTAGGGATGTTATCTTAGAACGATGGGGAATGAATATACTTAATGAATACAAATATGTGTTAATGCATTTGGAAGTAATTCACATCTATCGTGTCAAAGTTGATAATGCTATCTAATTGTTCCAACATTGTTGAGCTGTGCCGATTATCACTTTGCGACTTACTGACTAAAACTCAAGCATTAAGTCAATGAGCTATTGGAAGAAAATGATAACCCCTACTTTGAGCATAGGAAGCACAAATCTAAATTGTCCCAATTATGTTTTTGGGATAATATTGTCATGTGTCTTGTTGTCTATAATATGTATAATAATGATAGGTGGGAATCTAGGATTCTCTGTTCGCACACATATAGCGTAAACAGGAAAGATTTTGCTAAGCAAACATCTCATTGTTATGGAGTTCTTGAACATATCATAAGCCGAACCACTGCGTTTCTTGATGAGCAGTGTTAGGTGAAATAGGTGTAGGTTGTAAAAAGTCATAGGCGATGAGACTAAAATACAGTCTCAATGCATGAAATCTTTGACTGTTGGTTCGGACTACGTAGAGTAATGTAGACTGACCAGCTTGGTATTTGGGTTGGTAGGAATCAGATTTTGAGGACTATTAGTAACATGTTTCAAAATTGTTCTCGATGGTCGAGATATTTCCACTCCTTGTTAACATATGGACTCTGAAATCTTCACTGTTCGTCATCTAACTATTCTCTTTCCGGTGCATCTCCGTCCATTATAGTTTCGTTAAATATTTTCTCTCTTTAGTGTGCTTTTCTGATTTGTAGTAACTTAAGTTGCTACAATTTGTACAAGCTTCTGCATTAATAAGTTTGGTGGTCACCATGCATTGTTCGTCTATAATTTCTATGCATATCTGAAAAGATCTGAGTGCCTTGAACATCATAATTTGTACATAAAGCCCTTGTAAGTTGTACAAAATCAACGTAGTTTTACATTTTATTGGTCCTAGTGTTAGTCTTATTGTTTAGCCTAAGTTTCCAGTGGCTTTGTGACTATCGTTTCCATTACAATATTGTCCTTCACAACTCTGTTTTCATTACTTAGTTTAATTAATGTCTGCTTTGTAATATAATTTATTGGTGATGTCTAAACGTATAATACAAATGGTCAAGGAATATACAAGTTTCACGGTCTTGATTTTGTTTGTTAAGTCGACAAAATATCTGTGACTATGTCTTCACCTTCGTTGTAGGCATAAGGTATTTTTATGTTTGGTCACAATTTTCAGGGGTAAGCAAAGAAACTTAACTACTTAACTCCTGTAATCAGATTGACTTAAGCTTTAGATTTCACTGTTTACCTAATTTCATTTTAATAAATTTAAGTAACTTAAGGTATGACATTAAACTGTGCTTATTTCACAACTTTTAACAGTCATCATTAAGAAAAAGCATACTGGGTAAAACTCTTCAACAGTTAGACAGAAATATGCTAAAATAGAGTTTGACTGAAAGCAACAACTTTCACACAGTTAGTGGTTTTATGGTATCGAGCTAACAATTCTAAAGTAGGATGAAAAATCGATTTCAAGTTGAAGTATGCACTGAAAATGTTGTCTAGCAGTAAGAAAATGGGAGCTTCTCAACTAAACCATCCAGCTCACAGAACACAACTATACCAAGATTTCAAATTTTCTCAGAGTTTTTGTTCCATCTGAGTGTGAGTGTTATGGAACGTCAGAAGTGTTCAACCGGGTTTGATAAATTAAATGTAATCTGCACGTAGTCATTTCGTTTTATTTTTCTTAAGTCTCTTCTGTTGAGATGACGTTGTCTGCATTTAATGATTATACGTATATGTTTAATGACTACTTGTATTTATCCATGAGTAACTTTCTTGTCTAGTGCACTTATTAGGACCTCAGTTACTTCCATCCATAGAAAGAACAAGTCTTGTCGACTGTTATCTTAATGACATTTGTTAAGGACATTGATTACCAGATGGTTATTTGTTTACAAACGCTCTGAGAACAAATCCTCGCACTGTTTCGGACATGCAAAACGTACTCGTAATTTCAGCTTGTCAGTCTAATATTATTTTTTGTGCTAATGTCTAACTAAATTATATCATGTGTTATGTGTATTTGGAGGATAGAACTATTTGAGGTTAGTTGGTCGACAACAAAGCGACCGTCGTGCAACAGTGTCTTCTACCAGCTCTGTAGTCAGCTCTCCAGTTATTACCCGTCCTCGTCTTGGATCATCTCCGACTTCTCCCTCAACAGAAACGTCTCTCCCACCGAAACCTCCTAGGAAATAATGACTATATTTTAACACCTATAAAGTAGGTATAATCCATTATTGTTTGTGCATGCAGTTATTGACTGCATGTTCCCCGATGGATGTATGAGCTTACATATCAAGAAAAAGTCTTAGAATATATACTGCATGCTGCTTATCCCATGTTATGTTTCTCGACTGGTGAATGTGTTAAAATTATCTGTCCCATTCTCACTGTAATGGTTCATGAAAGTCTGTGTAGAATTTGTTCTTTCCTCCTATGCTTTTACCAATGCGTCATCGTCTCCGATATCTTTCAAACTAACAGTTAATTGCATTTCCCCTTTAATTCCCCTTTTATATATTACAGGATGATTTATCTGTATTAGGCATAGCCTGAAATATGGTATTTTTTTAAGACACATCCAGGGCACTGCAAATTAGAGACAGTAGTAATAAAATTATTTAAATATCACGTGTTCACTGGTAAAAGCGCTTCTACTGCTCACCATGTGTGAATATTGAAGCAAAAAAATAAACAATAGTTTTATTTCCTTCTTTCTACTTTTGACTCTGGTACAGGTAACTCGCCGACCTATATATATATATATATATATATATATATATATATATATATATATATATATATATATATATATATATAATGCATAATGAGTCATTTCTTATGCCTTGTTTTTCTCTAAAGGGTTGTTCATATCATATAGTTAGTTTAGTAATGAGTTGTTTATGCTACCCAACACCAAGTGAGGATTGTAAGAACGGATACTTATTCAAACTACCAAAGAAAGGAGTCTGTCTGTCTGTCTGGATTCAACATAGAACTTGGAACCGAAGTGCAGCAGTTCGAGTTGCCACCTTCCAAATAGCATACAGAGGTAGACAAGAAGATGAGTGAAGAGAATCAATACAGTCTGACAAGTATAAGAGTGAACAAGAAAGGAGACTTAAGTCAATGTAAAAACTGGCGAGGAATTATGCTCCTGTCCTTTCCAAGCAAAATACTAAGCCGGATCATCCTGGAGAGAATCAAACAAGCCCTAGATGAAAAACTTCGACCGGAACAAGCTGGATTTAGGAGAAACAAATCATGTATTGATCAAATCGCCACACTACGGATCATCATTGAACAAAGTTTGGAATGGCAGTCACCTCTCTATCCCAACTTCATCGACTTTGAAAAGGCCTTCACTAGACAGCGTCGATCGAGAGGTGATTTAGCAACTACCTCACTACTATGAAGTCCCGCCAACAACTATACATCTCATCCAACAGTTATACGACAATTCTGCATGCCAAGTAATCCACAACGGGAAACTTACGGAAGCCTTCGAAGTGAGGACGGGAGTGAGGTAAGCTGGCTGTCTACTATCGCCAATGATTTTCCTGATTGCAGTAGATTGGTTAATGCGACAGACAACGGGAAATGAGGAAACAGTCATAAAATGGACTCACACAAAGACAAACTTGGAGGATCTGCACTTCGCCGATGATGACATATGTCTGATTTCCCACAAACTGGAAGATATGCAAGTGAAAAGCAACAAGTTGGCAGAAGAAGCATCCAAAGAAGATAGGACTTCAGGTGAACATAGAGAAAACAGAGATGATGAAGATTCCTGGTCAACACCACCAACAACAGACAACAATCAACCAGCATAAATGGGAGGAACCTGAAAGAAACAATCTCCCTTACCTACCCACCTACATGGGAAGCATCGTTTCAACTACAGGTGAACGGAACTGACGAGGATATCAAAGCCAGAATCGGAAAAGCAAGACAAAATTTCATTACTCATGTCAAGTCTGTGTGGAGGTCAACAGCCCCACTCAGCATCAAAAATAAGATCCGAATTTTCAACTCCAATGTGAAGTCAGTGCTACTTACTATACGGATCAGAGACTTGCACTGCGCGTCATAAAGAGCATCTCCAACAAACTTCAGACCTTCATCAACAGTTGTCTTCGCTCAATACTCAAGATCAGATGGCCGGCCAGAAAAGATCAGCAACAGGGATCTCTGGCAATGAGCGAACCAACCAGGAACCGATTGTGAAACAAATATGCCGGAAGAAATGGAGATGGATTGGCTGGGCATACTCTGAGGAAACCATCAAGTGACATCACTAGACAAGCCATTGCTCGAGTGGAACCAGGCCGAAAGGGAAGCGGGTGGCGAGTTGGTCGTCAGTGCGATAGTGACTTGGAGGAGGTCATGTGAAGATGAGATGAAAGCATGTGGACAGACTTGGAGCGGGGTGAAAATGTTGACAGAAAACAGAAGGCAATGGAGGTGCGCAGCTGAAGCCCTATGTTCCTCTAGGAACTAAAGGATGCAATAATAATAATAACACCAAATGTTTCGCATTTTTATTGTATGAAAATTAAAGATGAACAACAAAAAATAAGCATTTAAATCAATCTTTTACTATCCCTCAGAAACATCAAAGGGAGAGATGTCTTGCTTCTTGAACTTTGTTTTGTGGCTGCCATTATTCTTAATTTTTCAGACAAAAGGAAATTTGAGCAAAGAATATCCTTTTCGATAATTTCTTCTTCTTGCTCTACAATTATATATATATATACCTTGATAATACGTGTCTTCGAGTCTAATCACATGTCGTAACAATTCCTTGTAGTTTACTTCGCTTAAGGCCTGTGCCAACTGTCACAACCCATTCATCAAGTGTGATATCTTTGCAAAATTCACGATTAGTTTATTGCATGTGATATTTTAAACTTTTTTTCTTAAGCGTACATTCTTAGAGGTTTATTTGCGTTTCTTAATCACTAATATACAAATCTATTGAAAATTGACAATGTCAGACCAAGTTCACAATTTTCTCACGTTTTATGTGTCACAGCTTGGTTGCATATGCACTCATCTGTAAATTCTCAGTGTCTGTCGAGTTTTTCAGCAGTAACTCTCAAGAGTACTGCATAAAATGGTTATTTCACTCCACTTTTAATCAGTCTGAAAGGTGTAATGACACTGTAATATAGTGCATTTGTATAAAGAAAACTACCTTATTTATTAGTTTCTATACAAAATGTGCTTCATCTTAATAGATATACAGAAGTTTCATATCAGTAATGTTTATGCTGTATACTAACCATCTAAATAATATTCCTGTCCTTTTATGTGTTGTACAAGGTCGAGAACATATTATCGACGCACACGTACTAATTCATTCATCTTCCAGCTGCCGAAACATCACGATGGATAAAAAAGGCTCGTGTACTGTTTGCTAACTTGAGTCCCCTGTGACGTAGACGTGATATCGGGATATCAATCAAATCACACATGTACTGCGAAGCAGTTTACTGAATCCTCTTTCATGTTTGTGAGACATAGTCACTGAGAGTAGATGTGGAATGACCAACTGTCTTAGTCCATACATGTTCGATTTCTTTCTCCTGTGTTAGACGCAGAGTGTTAGGTAGATAGAATAAGTCAATCGATAAGGTTGTGCAAGTGAATCGACTAAAATGGCTAGGAAGTGTGTTGCTCATGTCGAGCAGTGTTAGCTGACATAGGGTTAGGTTGGAAAAGATTTAGTGATGGTCAAACCAAAACATGGCATCAGTTCACAAAGTCTTTCACAGTTGGTTTGAGTCAGGTAGGAAGGTGTAGACTGCGTGACTGGGGTTTTCGAGACTCTAAGAACCAATGACTAGAGACTATTGGTGATATGTGTGTCGGTGGAACAGTGGTTAGGACTCTCTCCGACCATGCACGTGGTCCGGGGTTCGATCCCTTGCCGGCGCACACCTGGTATCAATGATCGGCCTGCAAAATTTGGGCTACCGATATCATATGCGGAAAATTCCATACGGTGTGGAATCAAGCTATATAAGTGTTATGTACTCGTCGCCAAATTATTATTATGTACTGGTCGAGAATTTAATAGTCCTGACGCAAGAAGGCGGAAATCAGAAGACCACTAGGTTCGCGATGATACTTCTATTTTCCAAACACAAGGAGAAGCAATAAGTGGTATCACACCAGTGTCACACAAGATTGTGAGAGCGAAATATATATGAATGTCCAGACAAGTGTGTGAACAAATCAATCGACAGTCTTAACATGAATGGCTAATTATAATGGAGTATCGATCCATATATACATAGCAAAATATAGCAGACATGTCAACAACCACACATATAATATGGATATATGTCACCAAGCTACGGACTGTCAACAAACACTCATATTATATATAATATAAGGGGAATATACATTGTTAAAGGAGACAGGTTCATCAAAGTGAAATGGTCACAGACTAAGAGAGCAAACAGAAAGAGAGATCACCATACACATATATATATATATATGTGGATACATATCAATAAGAAAATAATAACAAAGAATCATTCTCAATGGTGCAGATGAATTCACTTTTTTTGACCTCCCACATTCATTAAACCATCAGGCTCTTTTCAATCTCCTTTCTGTGGTGTATAGATTGTGGTAACTTGCACTGTTTCACTACTGTGCAAACATCTATGCAACAATTCAGTCAGGTATTAGCTTACGTCAGACAGAGACTATATCACTTGAAAAATCAATTTGAATGAAAATCAAGTTGTGCATCTATAGTTTCAACTTAATTAATAAGCAGACATTTCGAATCGAAATCAACATAACTGAATGAATAGATATAAAAAATCGATAAAACGTTTTAATTCGTCATAATTTGTGATCTGTTCAACGTAACTGTTTATAATCAATAATTTCTCATAGTGTGACATATTTATGAGTAAGTAGAGTTATGTATGTATCATAAAATTCTTCTGCTTTTAGTAAATACCACCAAATTTTAGCGTCTTATTTTACATAAATCAATGACAATAAAAATTAAATAAAATATTAGTTGTTGTGTAAAAAATAGTCGAAATTAGATTAATTTTTTCGGCTTTTCTTAAAAAATATTCTTCTTGAGGTTTTGTGTTGTGCCTAACTTTTGGCAATAAAATAACAGTAACTGTGACTGTCGTATTCAACATTTCGCAATGCGTGATTGTGCGTAACATATATATATATATATATATATATATATATATATATGTCTATGTACAATTAAAACGTGAACTTAAACTGTCTCCTTTAAGCGATTTCGGAAATCACTGTCCTTGTGTTTTTTCCTCTCCCATGCATGTCCTGATGGGTATTTTCTGCGATTTAAACTGTTACCTTTTTCGACATCAGCTATTCTCTTAATAATTGGGAGTTAATGTTGCAGTATTCTGGAGTATATCTCTGCTTACTTTTCACTGAATGTCTGAAAACAGCATTATCTTATACAGAAGAGTTGCATCAGTGGAAGGAAGGCAAGATAATAGAGATGAAGATATAAAGACAAAGATGAGTGAGGATTAGAGAGGTTTCGTGTGCATTTCGGATTGTGAGGGCGATTGTTACTTCTCGGCTGCCCACACCGTGGAAGTTGGTTGCGTGACCGCAGAGCCCAGGGGACAACTGCTTGAGGCCGGTCATACGCGTCCTGTTTTTGTTTGTTCTTTTTGGTTTGGTGTGTCTCAGTAGCATATTTATCACTTCTGCCCTGTGACACGGCAGCAGGAAGCGCCGTCGTTGTTAGTCCGGGCCCCGACCCTATCCGGCATGATATTTTGTGAATTTGTATAAATCATAGTATTGAATTGGGTAGCTGCTTTTTGTCTAACCGCTATCCAAACAACCTTTCTGGCATGGTAGGACCTCAAGAGACATAAGTCTCAGCCAGTATAGCTTGAATAGAACATTGCGGTGTTCAAGCCCGACCACCACATCAAGGTAGCAGCTTTCGGTCGGGCTTATACGGAAGTGTAGTATTTATTTAAATCACATCACTTTCCTCACTGTCCCATGGAAGTGTATCTCTATTTAGACTGCTCACATTATTCTCAACATTATTCTCATTATTATTTTTTGTATAAAAAATGATCAATATTTGAAGACATCCTTCCTCTCTTTCTCCATACTACCTCCTGCGTACTGTGTAGTTAGTGTTTGTTTGTTTTTTACTTACGCGGAACTCGTGTTATATCTCACTTGAGTCACATAATATCAACACTCTGGGTGATTACTTATATTACACCCGTCATATAAAAAGTTTCATACAACCGGTTCCCTTTATTTATTAGTTTGAATTAAAAGAAAAGAAGAACGAACATATTTGCAAGATAATTCGAGCTAGTTTTATTTCGTGGATTCTCTTCAACTGCGTACATCCTTAACAAATCAATTATATGTTATAAAATTTCTGAACCTACTTTTTACAGTGATTTCAAGTTATAGATGGAAAGTATATAAGCAACATAATTTCAAAGATGATGTAAGCAGACAGTTATTTAGTGTTAAAAGAAATAAGTATTTTTATTTAGTAATCAGACAAAGGGATAGAATTCAAATTTCTCTTGGAAACAAGGATGGACTGGAGACAAAGTACAAGATAGAACAAGAGAGTTAATTTATACATATTATGGTAGAGAGTTCAGGAGGGTTGGGGGCGAATAGTGAAGTAAAATTATAAGACAGATAAAATAGTTTAATTCAGTACATTTGGAACCTTAATAGTGAGTTCAACTCAGTGAGTGAAAATCAAAATTGATCGGAATGTGATGCAAGAGAACAAAACAATTATGGTTACCAGGGTCTCTGTCTGTCTGGATTCAACATAGAACTTGGAACCGAAGTGCTGCAGTTCGAGTTACCACGTTCCAGATAGCACACAAAGGTAGAAAAGAAGATGAACGAAGAGAATCAGTAGAGTTTGACAAGTATAAGAGTGAAACAGAATGGGTAATGGTAGAAAAGAATATGAAGGATTACAAAGACCGAATACATCTGCGCTGGCCATTGACAACGATTTTGAGCCATGTCACCTATTGTCTCCAGCCATTGATTCCTAGAGTCCCTAGGGTCCCAACCCGGAAGTCTGCATCTCCCTACCTGACTCAGTTTAACTGTCAAGGATTTCATGGATTGATGAGGCCATGTTTTTGTTTGGCCACCACTTACTCTTTTCCAACCTGGACCTATATCAGCTAGTAATGTCCGTCGGGGGAGGTGATGGTTAGGCATACGCAACACGTCACCTAGCCATCTCAATCTATGTAACTTTATAGCCTCGTCGATTGATTTTCCCTCTTTGCCCAACACTATGCCTAACGTCAACATTACTTACCTTATTATACCACCTAACGTGAGAAAGAGATCGTAGACATCTATGATCAAAAACATTCAACCTTTTCATGTCTTCAACTCGTATTAGCCGTGTTTCAGAGCCATAGAGAAGGATGGAGCGAACTGGTGAGCAGTACACACGTCCCTTGGTTGATAGCCGGATGTCACGCCTACGCCAGAGATGGTGTAAGTTAGCGAAAGCAGCTCGAGCTTTATGGATCCGTGCTGAGATTTCGTTGCCAATCAGTCCGTTGGTGCTGATACAACCTCCCCGAATAGGTGAAGTGGTAGTGAGAGATTACTCACACTCTTTCTCTATGCATAGATTGGGTCGAAGTCTTTTGATGACAATTGCTTCTACAAACCGAAGTAACCATGCTTTTCTTTGTATATGGATTATTTTGAAAGTCAGACTTATTTCCAATGTATGTCCCGTGTCAATTAGGTGTCTGACGATTTCGCTTGAGCTCGTATTATCCTGCAAGTATGTTCATTCTTTCTTTATTGAAAATATAAAAAGTTCTTGACGCAGTTCGTGAATTTCTTGTTTATGATACTCCAAAGTTTATTGCATGTAAGAAAAGATAGTTGCCTCTTTTGTTATTTTTTTTAACATATACCCAACTGCTTGCTATTTATATTGTGTATTGCATGAATCTCAATTCTCGATGAAGTTGATTTATTTGTAATCTCTAAAATCAAATTATAAATCCACTATTAGTAACTGTTTATAGTTAGCTAGATTATTTGTTTGTCATGATGTATTCACTTTCATGAAACACTAAAATTTTTGGCATTTTGTTTATGCATGCATGTGTATAATATGTCTGCTGATATTTTACTGTTTCAATAATTTGTTTATTGTTTATCTTTAGGAATCTGCGCCACGTCGTATGTCAACACGTCGTACTGTCCGGCCTCAATCAGTTCCACAGTCAATCAAAACACTGAGTGTTGGAGATCCAACTGATTAGTTTTGTTATATATATATATGTATATATATATAAACTTAAGTGTGTGAATCCAACAATTGAAATATTTCTTCCACTTTATGTACTATTTGCCTGCCTTTCCTGCTGACAAAACACAATTGATTAGGTTTTTTTTATTGTACAGCTGCTGCTTACCCCAGTCATCTTGATGAATTTCAAGCTGTTCGCCTAGATTCCTCTTCAATACTGTTCAAAAGATAGATAGATAGATGGGTGCAAATATCTGTGTGTATGTGGAACTATGCATTTTATTTTTCATTCTCTCTCTGTCTCTATGTCATTATATTAAACAAGCCTGTTAATTTGTATTTTATATAAATAAATGTCTGTTAAAAATCTGTGTAATACACTGTATTCTCAAATTTCTACATTATTTTTCATCTTTTCATATTGTAGACGAACACACTCTGTGCACACACACACACACTACATTGAACATGCTTCATGCGTAGATTTCCCTATTTCTTGTTCTTCTTGTTGTTGTTATTCTTCTTCTTTGTTGGTTGTTCCTATGTAACAGAGAAGAATATCCCCCTTTTTTCCTATGATCAATCAACATTTATGTGTAAAAGAGAAAAAAAACTTTTCGTGTGTTTCTAACAATTTGAGCTATATGATAATCATTTAAATATTCTTCACACAATGTGTATTCTATGAGCGAACTGATTCAATTATTATTATTATTTTTTTTAATAGTCTACAGTTCGTTTGTGTATGGGTTTTTCTTTTTTTGAATTACCCTTTTTAGGTATGTTAATTAGGTGGGTCTCGTGTTGTCCATATTTGTGTGTGTGTGTGTGTGTATGTGCGTGCGTATGCCTTAATCTGTGTACATAAAAAAAAGAACAATATGCACTTTGTGCATCTTGAGTTGTATTATCCTGTAAGAGTGATAAAGCTCGCCCCAACCTCCAGCCATCACCTTCTAAAGTAAGGTTTCTTTAAGAAAACAAACATTGAACAATGAACTCAATATAAAAAAAAGGATAATATCATCACATATCTACTTTATTGTATACATGGTCAAAATGCTGAAGGAAAAAAAAGATGATGGTGCATAGGAACATTTTATTTGACAGGACTTTCCAGTTTTCTTCATCCTTTTTGTGTCATATATTATATGTTCAATGTAAAAGATAAATATATACATATTTTTCTGTCATATTCTATGGAATATTAAAAATGTCATATGAGATATTGGTGTCTTCATGTGTTTCTTTACCAGTTTTATTCTCATGTTGCTTAGTATTGTGAAATGTAGACTACTTGGAGAGTAGTGAATGTTATTCACAGAATGGGAGCGGAAAGTATGCTGAAAGTGTTTTATTAGTTCTGTCAGGCTTGAAATGTTTAACTGTGTTAAGAATAGTTTTTTTTTGTAATCGCGTGACATCCGGTTATCAACCAAGGGACGTGTGTACTGCTCAGCAGTTCGCTCCGTCCTTCTCTATGGCTCTGAAACATGGCCAATACGCGTTGAAGGCATGAAAAGGTTGACTGCTTTCGATCATAGATGTCTGCGATCTCTGTCTCACGTTAGGTGGTTTCACAAGATAAGTAATGTTGATGTTAGGCGTAGAGTGTTGGGCAAAGAGGGGAAAATCAATCGACGAGGCTATAAAGTTACATAGACTAAGATGGCTAGGTCACGTGCTGCGCATGCCTAACCACCGCCTCCCCCGACGGGCTTTGCTAGCTGATATAGGTTCAGGTTGGAAAAGAGCCAGTGGTGGCCAAACAAAAACATGGCCTCATCAATCCATGAAATCCTTGACAGTTAAACTGAGTCAGGTAGGGAGATGCAGACTTCCGGGTTGGGGTCCTCGGGACTCTAGGAATCAATGGCTTGAGACAATAGGTGACATGGCTCAAAATCGTTGTCAATGGCCAGCGCGGATGTATTCAGTCTCTGTAATCTTTCATATTCCTTTCTACCATTACCCATTCTGTTTCACTCTTATACTTGTCAAACTCTATTAATTCTCTTCACTCATCTTCTTGTCTACCTCTGTGGGCTATTTGGAACGTGGCAAGTTGAACTGCTGCACTTCGGTGCCAAGTTCTATGTTGAATCCAGACAGACAGAATCGCTCTCCGAAACTAATAAAGTAGTAGCTGTTCAACTAGGTAACCCGGTGCAGGTTTGAATAGTAGGCTATGAAATACACAATCCGAATTTTCCTCCGCTTCTTGTTGAAAGTTATGGTCAGCCAGTGGACAGCGTACATTTGGGAATAGGAGGACGTCTTGAGAATCTGCAAAATGATGTAAAGTACAATCACGGATAATACATCATTGGAAGTACATTAACAAGATATATTCGATAAGAATCCTCGTCGTGCTAGAGTCCTTGGAATGATATTATACATTTTCAGTGTCTGATGCTGGCCATATTGGTCTTACCATGGAAACTATGACGTTTTCGATGAAAATATAGCTCTGGTCAAACAGTAGTTCGTCGGTGGCACAGTGGTTAGGACTCTCGCCGACCATGCACATGGTCCGGGGTTCGAGCCCACGCCGGCGCACACCTGATATCTATGGTCGGCCTGCAAAATTTGGGCTACCCATATCCATGCTGAAAATTCCATACTTGTACCAAAAATACGGTATGGAATCAAGCTGTAAATCAAAAATGAAATGAAATGAAAATGCGATTCGCTCACGCCAAATGTAAGATGATGTTACAGGACTGGACTACACACACCGACTCCTAGTTTAGAAATAGGGAGTTAAGTGGTAGAGCACGTTGACCGCTTCAATTATTTGGAAAGTACCATTAGCCAGCCCCAGCGGGTTGATCTCCGACGAAATCTCAGGACGGATACAGAGGGCTAGTTTCGCATGTGCCAGTTTACGTCGTCTCTGGCGTAGACATGATATCCGGCTGGTTATCGACCAAAGGGCGGGTGTACTGCTCAGTAGTCCGCTCCGTCTTCCTTTATGGTTGTGAGACCTGGCCGTTAAGAGTGGAAGACATGAAAAGACTAACTGTCTTTGATCATAGGTGCCTGCGTTCTATCTCCCATGTGAAGTGGTATAATAAGGTGAGCAATATTGAGGTTAGGCGTCGAGTGCTAGGTAAGGAAGGGAAATCAATTGACGAAGCTGTGAAATTACATCGACTGAGATGGGTAGGACATGTTTTACTTAAGCCTAGTCATCGCCTTCCTCGAAGGGCAATGTTGACTGACACAGGATCAGGCTAAAGAAGAGCTACCGGTGATCAAACCAAAACATGACACCGGCGGATGAAATCTACAACAGTAAGTTTAAGTCAACCACATAGGAAGGTGTAGACTTCCTGGTTGGGGTCCTCGGGACGGTAAAATCCAATGGCTGGAAACAGTTGGTGATATGGCTTAAAATCGTTCTCAATGGCTAACGCAGATGCATCCACTCCTTGTGACTTATGATTTCCAATGAAACTACATTGTTCTTCGTTACTTCTATTTCTTTGTCTCACACCTCTGTTTACTATCTCTATTATGCATTTCTTTTGCTTTGCGTGCTACATGGAGGGAGTGTGGCGACTTGAACTGCCGCACATCCGTGCAAAGTTCTATCTCGAAAACAGACAAACAATTCGTATGGGTTAATGATACTAAGAGGTTTGTCAGGACATACTGGAATCGTTGATTCCTTGGATAAATGAGTTATATTTTCAAGTATTAGACTTGTAAGGATTTTGTTTGATTGCATGGAGGATTTCATCATGAGCTGACATCAGTCCATGATAAAATCCTCCATTAAATGAGTTATATTTGACCACCTGTTGTACTGCTTCAAATCAGTACTTGGATGTCTGTCATCTAGTTGGTGAGTATGATAGGTCTAGTGAAGTCTTCTATGTTGGAGTTGAAGACATTTTTATTTTGTTGTTGTTGTTGAATAGTATATGGGTCATTGGATCGAGTTCCAGTGGCTGAATAGTCTATAGATTCTCTTGTAACCGGAGGGTCCTAGATTCGAAACCCATTGGGTGCGTACTGCCAATGAGTTCCGAACTAGGATGAAACAGCTGTTCAGTACTTACTGGTTTTCAATAGTTCTTTAACTGATATCAATCCGTGGTCAAACTCTAAAACTAAATCAACTCTTGAAAAATAACTATTCTTGTTACAGTGTAACTAATGCCATAGTGTAGTATTTCAGGTGTTGCTAGAACTCCCTTTACAAGTATAGAATGTACTTTTGCTGTCATACGAAAGAAAACATCACTTATCAAACAGTTATACTTTTACTGGATATATGAAATCTCATGGAATTACGCTTCATCACAAGTTTCAGTTAACAAAAGGAAAGACAAATTCTATAGGATGCGGTGAATTCGTTGCAATGTACGTGTGTTTTCTGCAAAGGCACTGAGGCTGGAAACAATGCAGCGTATATTTGGGAAAGATAATCTATGTTCTTATCGGGATATAGTCTACTAGTAGAGATAAGTGCTGAATGGAGCTTATGTATTCGACGAAATCTATCTGTTGAACAAGTTAAATTAATGAATAATTATGCAATTTAATCAATAGATTTGTAATATGGATAGAGGATTGAAGTCAAAGTTGGTCAACTAAAAATATGTTTGAGTTGGAAGGTGATATGGTCATTAAATAGTAATCCGTTATGTAACCTATTCACTTCACATTATCAAAATCGAGAATAAAAAAGGAGAAAAGAGGTATACGTAGTAAATGTGACCTCTAGTTTCACGTGGAAATTTAATAGGAACTGGTCATTATGATCTAGGGATAATTGTCAGGACCAGAAATGGTAAGTGTGGGGCCACTGATATGACATGCATAACGTGGCTTTTCGCAAGCTCACGTGAATAAACTAGACATGGCAAGTGATGTCTCAGGGGTGTGAATTGTTGGTCGGCGTCCTGTTCCTTGAGGTGCCTCCAGTGGGTAAGAGTCATAATTGGATATATAATTTTCAAAAGAATGGATACTGAACAAAGAGTACTCTTTTCGATAAATTCATCATCAGGCTGTACAGTTATACATACATTATAGTGAATGAATGAGTTAGTGTTATGAACGACAATAATGTTTAAATAACATCAAATCAATAATATTGATAGATTACAGCTCAATAACATCAACATAAAATAAGCTGAATGTCAGAAGAATTAGGAAGGATAATATTACAAATTCATGAGTTTATAGTTTCTACTGAAGGCCAGGGCAAAAGTAGGGGCTGGACTTGCTTCTTTTGGACACAGAGTGCTGGTTGTTTGAGGTGAATCGCAATAGCCTCTGCTGTTTGGAGCCTGCGGTGCTTCGATGTTTTTGGTAATTTATTAGGAACCCAATAGATGAAAGAGAAGGATTCTTCCACGCTGGCTGGCTTTGTGGCCGGTTTGCACCAGATGGTCCATTATTGAACTGTTAATGGTTTTCACTACACTTTTACTCATCCATAATGGGAGATGTTCTCGAGCACGAAAAATCAACTTCCTAGAGCAACGGCCAATATAACTGGCTCCAAAAGCGCAGTTGAATTGATAGATACAATTTGAAGTGGCTAGTCTAGGTACTTCATCTTTCAGTCGAGGTAGCACCATCGGTCGTTGTGGAGAGAATAATACATGTAGTCCGCCAGCAGTAAAAGTTCTTTGAACTGATTTTCTTAATTTCTTCGCCACTATCTCGCTTGGTATATCACCCATGAATTGCAGTCGTATATAAAGTGGCTTCTTTTTTACAGATAGTGAGTAGTCCTTTTTCGTTTTCTTTGTCATGTGTTTCTTGGTAAATTTGTCGGGATAGTCATTTTCGATCAAAGTGTCATATACAATGCTTAATTCATCTTCAATTACTTCTTCTGAGCATATAGCTCTAACTCTGTGGCTGAGGGTCTTCACTAAATTTCTTTCGTACTTGATTCGCACGTGAGCTTCATTCGGTTGTGATTAAAGAGCTGTCTTCAGCAAGTCTAAGCATTGCGTCTACTGACTGAGCTTGTTTGAAAAATACACTAGTAAGCAAGCGGCTGCCCCTCCAGCGCAATTGCGGATTTTCAACTGTCGTCCCTGGAGACTATCAAAAATCCATCATATTAATGTTCGTAAATAGAAAAGCAAGATGGAGATAAATATGAGTGAATTGTAGTCAGTAATAAGTAAAAAAAAATTTGAAAGGAAATGTCAACCTGGGATAGAAATATTCGCAGTTTGTTGTCAAGGTAATTGTACTCCCTGTCTTTCTGGGTACAAAGCTCGTTTGGTTTCAGTGTCCTCTAAATACAAGTCGATTTTCT